CAGGGCGGTAACGTGAGCGCGATGCCCGGCCAGGCAGCTGCCGCCGCGAGATCAGCCGGATCCCACATGTGCAGCCCCGAGATCCCGGAGGAGGCACAAGGGCCGTGCCGGGATGCTCCCCAGGCCGAGCACTCGCAGGCTGGTTTGGTTCAGAAAATCCCCCTGGATGCTCCTGAGTGGAGATGGATATACCCGGGAAAAGCAGGGAAGCTCTAAGACGGGGCATTGGAGGGAGAAAAGGTGGATCAGGAGCATCTCTAGCTGTGATGCTGCATCCCTCCCGCCTCAACTCCCACTGGACGCTGTGATGCTCCAGTAAAACCCCCTCCTCCCCAGCTGTGCCTTTCGTCACTCCCTTTTTTAGCATTTTCGCCCCTGTTTCACCCCTGCAGAGTGGAGCGACGGCTCTTCCCTCCACTCATCCCCCTCCCCAGCTCTGGGATTAGCTCTGGGCGGCTCAAATCCCCCGCTATCACGGCAGCATCCAGCCAATAGCCGGGAACGGGAGCTCATAAAGCCGCTGGCCGCCCGCTCCCCACCAGCATCCCGGTGCCGACCCGGGAACGCCACCATGGCCGACGAGGCCACCGGCTCTGGCCAGGTAAGGACGGAGCGGTGTGTTGGGAGGGCCGGAATTCGCCGCTCGCTCGGGGCGGGAAGCGAAGGCGCCGGCGGCTGTCGACACCCGGCTCACGTGCTCCGCGCTCCCGCAGACTTCTCCGACCGGTTTGGGCTCCGAGGGATTGAGGGAGGGAGGCCCGGAGAGGCAGACGCTGGAGCCGGCTTGAAAACGTGTAAGTGTAGCCGAAAGCAGGCAAAATGCCTTAAAAAAAAAAAAAAAAGAAAAAGAAAAAGAAAAGAAATGCTGGTGAAAGTAAAAATAAAACAGCCTTCCTGGAAAGCATGGTTTCCCGGAAAAAAAAAATGCTGGTTGCAATCTAATGGTGGCCGGGGACCAGATCCTCCGGTCTGACTCCTGCATTTCCCGGTGGATAAGTTCACTTGGGAGCATCTGTCTTGCTCTGGCAGCCAAAAATAGCCTGATTTTTCCATGGATGAGGCTGAGGTCCAGCGGGGAGAAGGCTCCGAGTTTGGCAAATGGAGTTGCCTCCAGGGTGGGAAGGTGACGGGTGCCCCGCGTGGTTTTTAGGCTGGATTATGCTTTATTTTTGCTGGAATCACTGGGCTTTTGGGTATTAAAACGGAGTCATATGGGAAAAGTGAAGCAGAGTCATGCTGCAGGGCAGGGAAGGATTGAATTTCCCAGGAAAATAAAAGCAGGAGCAGTGGGATGGCCAGAGCTCTGCAGCTCCGCTGGCTTCATCCCATCTTGTTCCTTGGAAATCTCCTCCAGTTCCTAAGAAAAATGATGCAAATGACCAATTGGGAATAGTAACGGGTGGGCAAAGCAGCCGGAGCTGGAGCAGCTGCAATGGGGTGGGAATTGCGGCTCGGCAGCCGGAGCGGGCGGGATGCAGCGGCTGCGCCCCGAGTGTGCTCTGAGGAGCGCACACCCGCAGGCGGGTGCATGGACATGCGTGTGCACACACCAGCGAGCGCATGCGCTTGCACACACACACGGCAGAGTGCACGTGCGGTGGGTGCACACGAATGGGCTTGCACACAAATGCACTCGCACATGCATAGGTGCACTCACATGCTCGCACATCCTTGCACATGTGCACACAGGCATTTGCACATGTTGCACAGGCTTTTGCACAGGCTTGCCCGGGTGAGCACGCGTGCACTTGCGCACCCCCTCCCATGCACACATAAGTGCATGCATGCACATGTACACACAGCCGTGCACATGCATGTATATAACGGTGTGTGCACATGTGCACTTGCACACGCATGCACACGCACGCCTGTATACACACATGATCACACAAGCATGCATGTGCACATGTGCAGGCATGCGCACCCACATGCACACATGTGCATGCACATGTGCATTTGCAAAGGAGTGCATGTATGCACACCCATGCACGTAGGCACACCCGTGCACACCCGCACACTTATGCATACCCATGAACATGTATATTTGCACATACATCCATGCATTTGCACAGGCTCACACATATGCACACCTGTAAACATATGGACGCTTACTCATACACATGCAAAAACGCATTTGCACATGTGTGCACACACATGCATTTGCACATGTGTAGGCACAGACATTTGCACACATAAGCATGCATATGCATGCACATGCATTTGCACACATGTACAGGCATACATGCATTTGCACATGTGTACATGCGCACACATATTTCCACACACCCATGTATATTTGCACGCACATACAGGCACACATGCATTTGCACATGTGCACACACATTTGCCCACGTGTATTTGCGCATGCACACACACATTTGCACAGATGTGAACATACACATGTGCACATGCGCACACATTTGCACACGTGTACATGCATACATGCATTTGCATGTGCACACACACGTGTGCACGCACACCCATGCACATTTGCACGCGCACGCATTTGCACACGCATTTGCACACCCGCCGCGCGCACATGCGCCCTTCACGTGTATTTGCGCATGCACACACACATTTGCACAGATGTGAACATACACATGTGCACATGCGCACACATTTGCACACGTGTACATGCATACATGCATTTGCATGTGCACACACACGTGTGCACGCACACCCATGCACATTTGCACGCGCACGCATTTGCACACGCATTTGCACACCCGCCGCGCGCACATGCGCCCTTGCGCGCGCGCCCCGTGCACGCGGCGGGGAGAAAAGTTAGAAAGAATTATGGATATAAAAGTTTTTCTAAAAAAATTAAAAAGATTATTTTTTTTTAAAAAAAGATGGGGTTAAGTAGGAGGGAAGGGGGGATGAAAAAAGGGGGATGGAAAGGAAAGGAAAGGAGAGGAGAGGGAGGGAAAGGCGAAAGAGGGAGAAAAAGAGGAACAGCAAAAGGGGGAAGAGAAAGAGGGGGATGTAAGAAGGGGAAGGGGGAAGGGGAGAGCGGAGAGGAGGAAAAGAAAGGGGAGAAAGGAGAAGAAAGGAGGTAAAAGGAAGGAAGGAGGAAAGAGAGGGAAAAGGGAAAGGGAGGGAAGGGAGAAAGGAAAGGGGAGAAGAAAGGGGGGAAAAGAGGAGGAAGAGGGGAAGAAAGGGGAGGAGAGAAAAGAGGGGAAAGGGGGGAAGTTAGGAAAGAGGAGAACAAGTGGAAAAGGAGGGAAAAAGGAGGGAAAGGGAGTTGGGAGCGGGAGCAGCGCGGCCCGTGCGGTACGTGCCGGCCGCGCGGCTCCTGCGCGGGGG